CACTTGGAGGTTTATCTGTGTCCTCAGGATCACCTGAGTGGTGCAAATGGGTGTGGAGCCTTCTCCAAGTGGCCTCTAAAAGAAGGCAAACGACCAGCTGTCTGTAAGGAGTATAAATCCTTCCATTCTCCACCATCCAGTCAGAGTTGAAGAAGCTTCTTGGATGAGAAGCGAAACATCTTCAAAGAAAAACAAGAAAGTCCAGTTGCCTCGTGAAAAAAAGCACCTTTGGGACAACCCTAATCTGGAGGACTGAGAATCTCCCAAGATATCAAGAGTAATTTTTTCTCTTTATCTCATAAAATGAAAGCGCTGACCTAGATTTCTTAAACTCCCCAAAGTATTTTACTGATAATGCTCATGGTTTTATTGAGCAAGTTCCAAAGGCAATATTAATCGTAGTATGTTCCCATATCCCTCCCCACTTTATCACCTTCTAATTGCAGCCTTCATTATCTCGTTTTACCCCGAAGACTTCCTGGAGCCTAGATCTAACTGGAGGATGGTTGATAATGGTGTTAAGCAGATGAAAGATATTATAGAATGTATGAATAATGTATAAATGAATAATGTATAAATGAAGGTATAAATGAAGCCTGTAGCAGCACCATCATATCACATTGCTGTTGACGGGGAAGAATAATCTGTACCGCCTTTGTTGGGCACAGAGAGAGAAGACCTCAAGACTCAAAAAAAGTAGTATTTGATGGCAAATCTTAAGTTTCTCTCAAAACCTTGATGCTTAAGGTGCTTCCTTAGCTGTTCATGCTAAATAAACATATTGTCCTTAGTTCCCCTGTCTTCCTTCCCAGAGAAACTGAACATAGAACATAGAATAATAGAACTGGAAGGGACCTTAGAGGTCTTCTAGTCCAACCCCCTGCTCAACCAGGAGATTCTATATCATTCTGGGCAAATGGATGTCCAGTCTCTTCTTAAAAACCTCCAGTGATGGAACACCCATTTTGACAAGTCTGAAAGGACTATTCTATTTCTTATTCTATTCTATTCTATTCTATTCTATTCTATTCTATTCTATTCTATTCTATTCTATTCTACTCTACTCTACTCTACTCTACTCTACTCTACTCTACTCTACTCTACTCTACTCTATTCTATTTCTTATTCTATTCTATTCTATTCTATTCTGTTCTGTTCTGTTCTGTTCTGTTCTATTCTATTCCTATTTCTATTTCTATTCCATTCCATTCCATTATATTTCTATTCTATTCTATTCTATTCTATTCTATTCTATTCTATTCTATTCTATTCTATTCTATTCTTACAGTTGTGGGTGCTCCATTTCTGTTTTCAAGAAAAGATTGGACATTTATTTGTCCAGGATGGCGTAAGGTCATCTGCCTTGGTCAGGGGGCTGGACTAGAGGACCTCCAAGGTCCCTTCCAATCCCATGATTCGATGAATTGGGGCAGGCTAAGATGGATAAGGAAAGAGAAGATACCAGGAAGACAATGCATGCATTTTCCTTTCCCCCAGCATAATATTTGGGACCGTACTGAATTTAACATGAAACAAATATTAACAGTACTATCATTCTGAACTCAGTCCTTATAAAAATTAGGATTAAAAGCGTATACTTACGTCATGTAGAGGATAAGCTGTTTCATAAACATTATTTGCTATTAATGTGTTAATACCTAAACAAAAGGTACAAGTTAGGATAATATTAGTATCGTGGTTTTTTTTTCTTCTCATTTCATTTTGTGTGTCTGTGTGTTTACCTGCCTTTCAGCAGAATAAAGTCATTCAAGAGATTACCGGAGCATTAATTTAGAGCTGAGATTAATTTTCCAAATTATTATAACTTTAGGGCAGGAGGAAATCAGATTTAATTAAATTTTAGCCAACATTTGAGTTTTAAAATCCAAACTTAAATTCAGACGACTGATTTTTTTTCAAATGTTCAAGATGCTATTTACCTCCAATTACATCTTCTTCGTTCTTTGTTTTAATAAGATTTATGAATGCAAGTGGAAGTTATGCTGCTATTGAAAAGGCACCATAATTTAAAAACTGAGGCAGATGCCATTTTGGGCATTTTTTCAAGGTTTATGAATGCTGGCCTCTAAAACCAGGAATGACTCCATCCGCCAAACATCCTTACTTCTTGCTCGCCTTCTTTGGTGAAAGAGACAGGCTGATACAATAGGGAAGTCCTCACTTCAGTTATTCAAGAAATAAAGCCAGCGAAATAAAATAAAATAAGTCTGAATCAGGCTAGTATTTCCGATGGGTTTTATGTATCAGATTTCTGGGGCTCCATTTTTCAATCCAGGAAGAGAATAAATATACCTTGATCTAAAGCAGTGGTTCTCAACCTTTTTAATTCCGCGACCCCAACCGGTCGTAAGTCGAGGACTAAACTGGTTGTAAGTTGAGGACTAAACTGGTCGTAAGTCGAGGACTAAACCGGTCGTAAGTCGAGGACTACCCAACCGGTCGTAAGTCGAGGACTTTCCCTGCCCGGGAGCGCCGCGCATGCGTGGTTCCGCCCCCTGCGCCGGCCGAGGCGTAGCTGGCAAGTGGCAGAGACGGAGCAGGCCGACCACCAGCTGGCCCAGCCCAAGGGAGGTAAGGCACCCGCCGG